GCGGTCCTTTCTCGGCTGGGCTGGCGGCAGAAGCATCTCTCTTAAACTGCGTTAGGATCGGGCAGTGGCGTGCGGAAGTTCGCAGTAGGAGGTCTGGGTGTCTGCAGGGGGAACCCTACCATCTTGCTATCTCGCAGAGCCAGAATAAAAAAAGGGGGGGGGAGTACGGAACAAATGGTGGTTCACGCATGGATGTTCCCAGCTTGACATCTCATCATGTGGTGTCTGGCAGATGAAAGGGGGAACAGCCCCCACCATCAGGTGAAATAAACACTCCTGCCTGTGATGCTCCTTCTCACGAACTCCCACTTGTGTTCCCTTCAACTGGCGAACCAGATGTGTGGATCCGTGCGTAGCTTTGGGGACGGGCCAGTCACTCAAAGGCAAAGAGTAATTTCCCACAAGTGCTTACAAGCCGGGGTGACTGGACGGGTTGTCGGATTCTGACCGTGAGTAATTCGCAAAGCCGTTGTCTGCGGTAGGTTGCATCGCTGTGATTCATTCTCACTTAAATCCATCAACGGATGTACATATGCATGTGTGAATCAGCCTGAAGAAGGTGCTGGTTTTGCTGGAGCGGGAGGTTTGCTTTCTCAGGTAGTGGAGGCAGAATGAGAGAAGGACCAAGTAGCTGTGACAGGACCATGAGAGGAATAACTCACTCTTGGTTGTAAATTCAATACACAGAGTTGAGCCACTCTCTTTTACCGTCACTCCCCCACTTGCTACACAGAGATACCATTGGCTTCCTTTACTAGCGTGCATTCAGGCTTATCATACAAATGCACGTGATGCCCTATGAAGATTTTAAAATACTCTGTAGACATTCGAGACCGGCAAAGTTAGCCATGGGACCTGGTTTCCAGACTCTTCAAAAATGATGTTCTGGTTCACTCCGTTCTGGGAAAGAGCAGAATGCTTTTCCCTCTTCAGGACACCACCTCCCACCACCCATCTAGAAGTAGCCACAAAGGTTTGAGGAGCTTTTGGAGACATGCTCACCTACCACTCCTGGGAAACTGGGAAGCCCTTCTGATGTTCTCATTTGCAGTGGCCAAGCTGGGCAGGGGCTCCCAAGTGGGCCACCACTTCTCATGTTTGAGAACCACTGTCATTCAACTCTGTGGCTGTCTCTCCACAATATGCAGATACTCCATGCTGACTCAAATCAGAGATTACTGAATTGGCTGGGATCACACAGCACACAGTATTGCGAACCCCACTGACAGGTTCACACAACAGCCTGAGTGTGAGCTGATGGGTGGCCTTAGGCCAGTGTTGTCCAAACTTGGCCACTTTAAGATGAGTGGACTTCAACTCCCAGAATTCCCCAGCCAGCAGGGTCCACCCATCTGAAAGTCGCCAAGGTTGAAAACCCCTGCTCCAAAGACTCATCTGCCTAAGGCAGTGTTGTCCAAACTTGGCCACTTTAAGATGAGTGGACTTCAACTCCCA